TGTTGGCTCGCGTCTATCAAACCTTTATCTACATCTTCTCAGTTTATGGATAGATTAGTCACGACCATACGAGAATATGTGGAGATTCAATAGGATTATATTGGAAACAGACTTGAGCAATCGGTTTCCAAATGAACTCGTCTGATGAAATGTATACACGTAATACACTACTCATAAGGTTGCTGAAAATTCTTTGACAGCTCAATACCGGTTTCGCCCTTCTTGGGGTTCATCAGAAAGGCACAGTCTTCTATTCTCCGTCAACCTTATGTTCTACTTGAACTCAAACTGCACGAAGTTAGCGAAGCACACTCATTTGCGAGCCAGTTTGGTTCTGCGGGGCACTCACACTGAACCCAGCTGAATCTCTCCAGGTGAGTCTCCCGCAAAACCAGATGAGTGTATTTCGCCAGTCTGATAACACTTCAGTGTATACCACAACAAGCAATGCACACCCAACAACGTTTCCGACTAACCAGGCTACATTACAGCAGAATCATAAAGAGAATGGCTAACTTTTCACTACACAAGCGAACCTCCTTTGGTCTACTCATCGGCCTGTATACATTAGGTAGGACTTTAAAAAAGGACTCTTCAATATGAGTGCAAACCTCTCCACTGACCATGGACTATGGGCATTTGCAATACATAATATGCTAGGAAGATGCTTCCTTCCTTTCAGGAGCAAACCCAATCAGCAGACTTCCTGACAGCGGAAATGCAGTAGTTTTCTGATTTGAGGAATCTTTTAACCAGCCTCGTACATTTGTGTGCTTAAGCATTCAGGCTGACTTGTGTCCACTCACATCCGGCTTGGGGGCCTTGTGGATACTTTCGTAAAGTACTATCTCTCTACGTAATAAGTTATTTAATGATATACATCAAAATAAGTCTTCACTATCCATAGACCTATCAAAACTATTTTTTTTCAACGAGGACCTTTGAAGAATTCACAAGAAACCAAAACAATTCTGCATCGTGTGACCTTCATTCAACAAACAAATTCTACCGTATGAGTGTGATACACGTACCACAGTGTACCCATTGTCCAGAAATGAAATGCGACCCGGGATCGGAGAGAGTGGATGACCATCTTTGTACCACTGAACCAAAGCAGGAGGTTGGCTGACTCCCACAAAGCAGGTGAGCAACCCGACTTCTTGTTGACCAAGCTCGAACTCGGACGGACCTTCTTTGGAAATACTCGGTGGCGCTGTTGAGTTTATTTTGAAAAAAAACTGAAAACTGGATTTTCCATTTTTTGTGTGTGCATATTCATCATCATCAGCCAACGGCTGCTAGCAAACTGGGTAGTGCATCTTAAAAATTTTTATTCGTAGGAGTTAAGTGAAAACACAGTTAAAGTTTTATTGATGCAAATTTTTGAAGACAGAGGTTATGAAATTCTTTCAAATTCAGCAGTACGTTGCCCGTATCTGGAATATTTTCGGGCGATGCTACAGGGAGCCGGCCGAACATTCATCTCTTTCATGGCGATATGCCGTTGCTTCTAACCATAAGGTAGGTTGAGAAGTTGTGATGTGGTTAGTCGCTGGTCTAGTGTTTAACCTTTTACTTTATCTAACGAGGACGTCACGTGAAAAGTGGGTAGCAGTGGATCAGCAGTATTGATCCGAACAACGTTTTGTAGAGTCCTAAACAAGACCATTTGTTCGGTCTTTCCGTTTTAACAGTAAAACGATGTCCTTGGTCAGTCGGATAACTTACTAATAAACTCAGCTGTCTGCCTCGGACACTGTTTAAGCCTTCCATGAACAGTCCTAGCACCCTCTTGACTGCTTCTTCCATCGAGTGTGGAGCGACTGTTTGCCTCAGTGAACTTGAATTCATTTCCAAAACAAAAATACCATCTTATGCCTCACTAAAGCGGACATATATATCTGAAGAAACTTCTGAAGATGAGAATTCTTTTATTACCATTCAGCTTACTTAGTCATACGACCTCAGATGCAGACTAGACTGAGCAAATGGATGAGTTTGGGTGAAACGACTCAAGATAACCTGCATTCTTCTCTCTTGGTATATACAATAAAGGCGATTGAACTAACGTATCACACATACTTTTTACAGAAACATCAAATTCTTTCGTTTCCATGGAGTGAATATTTCCGGCAGAACACGTGAAACTACCAGCCATTGCATCGGTCATCGAATAAATTGTCAGTTTGTATCCATCTGGAGAAACGACCACCGTGGGGCCCGCTCCATTCGATGAACCAAAGTTTCGGTCGGATCCAGGAGTGGGACCATGAGGAAGTATACGTCGACCATCTTTACGCCATTCTACCACTGGCCGGGGATCCCCAGTGACCAAGCATTCGAGGACGAGATTGTCTCCTTGAGTCACATCAATGCGTTGGGATTTCCTCGGATCCACAAAAGCCGGCTTTGCTACAAAAAATGGAGGAGGGGGGGGGGCGAAATCAGCACACTGGTTTCGAAGAGTATTGGAATAACTGAACATGAGAAACAACTCACATTGTACATCAAGTTCAATGTCGAACTTTGCTTTTCCGATCACGTTGCGGGCGATACACGTGTAAATTCCTTCATCTTTGTCCTGATATCAAGAAAGATTGGTAATGTGAATTACTTTTGTGTGTGGGGGGAGGAAGAGAAATTCTATCGGAAGTTTAGTTTTCTCCGTCAAATCAATGCTTTTGAAAAATGTGTTGTCTACCCCCAACATATCGGTAATAACACCGTAGTCAAACAGGCACCATTAATACTGGATTTTAACGCCAAAATCAACTAGGATGAGTAAGAATCGAGGAGAAGTTGACAGCCAGAAATCCGACCAGATGATGATGATGATGATGATGATGAATGACTCAGCCGCAGTGTGCCTAACCAAAGATGGGGTTGTATTACCATACTGGAGAAAATACTTCTCGAACTATTCAGACATTCAACCTGAACACTGTTAGCACAATATATATCAAAGGGTTATTAAGACAGTTAAGGGAGGACAAATGCTTGACTAACAGAAAACTTCCTGGAAATCCAAAACCATATATCGACATTATTGTGGTCTTCAGGATCACATGCAATGCAAAGCACTTGAGGTCATCGGGACTGAAAGGGATGCAACCGGGGGAGGGTGTGGTTAGAAGAAATTCCTGACGTGTATTGCTCACGATTAGGGCCAATTTCGACCTCATTACTAGCGTCTCTAAACCATAGAAAAAGGTCTGGGAGAGATCAAGATGTTCCCATCTCTATCAGTCACGCCGAAGCGAATGGTTTTGGAAAGTCAAAAGAGTTGGATATTTGGTTATCAGTGCGATACTTTTCCAAAGAGATCTTTCCAGATTGACTACCATTTACACAAAGTAGTAAAAAAGCCTGTACTTGTGTTTCTTACAAGGGTACTACGTGTCACAGTTAAAGAGAATACAATCTTGAGGACTGTGTTAATTGTTATTCCAGCCCATTGACAACAACCTGACGGTGCTGGGTGCGTTCATACTTCCCTGGATGAAGCATTAAGACTGGTGGATAGGCCTCAGTAGGGTTAGATTTTAACATTGAAGAAGGCTTCCGTATGTATCACAAAGATGCATGATTGAATGACAGTCGCTGAGGCTGTTTTCCGAACAAGATGGCGGACGCAATGGGTGGGGTATATACCTTATCAACTGAAGGCACCACCCTCATGAGCGAAATTTATACCTTAAGCCGACTAATATATTTACAATATATTCTCGGACAACAGGCTTCTGAACCAACCTTAGGAGAATTCACGATAATGTCCCATATGAAAAAGCCCGTGGTTTTTGGTTTTTATGATATTTTCTTGCTATAAAATAACAGTTTGCTTGTTTTGTTTTCCATCGAACCCGAGGCAGGACATGGTGAGTGCCTGTCCATATGCTTGAAATCTGGCAGGGTTATTACCAGTAATGGTCAGCCCAATGACGTTCCCGAAGCAGTGACGTGAGCTTTGATTGAATTTTCACAAGAATTCGTGGCCTAGTGAATGAGAATGCTCACAAACGGTCCCGAACCGCAGTTGGTCAACATAAATACCAGATTTTTCTAGCCCATAATAGTCGCTTGTATCACGATTACAAGCAATCCGAGGCTATTCTTGCGCAAATGGCCTTACGTGTTACTGGAGGCTACCAATTCCCATTAGTTTTAGTGTATCACAAGTTTTCAGTGATTTATTCTCTGTGGACTTCTGCCAGGGTCTAAAAGTTTATAAATATCGGTCACTTTTAAAGCCGATTTTCGAGTAATCCTCAGCTAGCCCCCACATATTTTGATTTTAATGGGACATGAGAAGAACATTAAGCTTTCGAGAGAGAAAACGCAGGCATTCTGTTTTGGTAAAGTCTCAAGTAACAAATGTACCCATTTAGCTGTCAAGCCTCATCTGGTAGTCGATCTGATAACTGAACAGTAGGCTAATTCATTTGGAATGCCGTAGCCAGCGCAAGTTGCACTTCCCTATTGTGATACTAACTGCTTCAGCTTTTTCAAGTATGTATATCCGTACAGCTCTGGGAGAGCGAGATGCGAGTCTAAGCACCAATTTGAAGGCTTTGTTGCGATCTACCGAGTGACACATGTCCACAGGGTGGCTTCTGATTGATCCCATACCAAATTCTGCTCGCCGATTAGAGAATAGGGACGGAATGATGACGAACCGCTCGACCAACAAAGGAAGCGTCAGGGAAAAACAGACTGCCAAAGAAAAGGTCGCCATGAGCGGCTCATTCGTTTTATTCAAAATGATGATATGTTGGCCTTCAAGTGAACGGAACGACTGAGTAGCCTTAAAGGTAGTGTTTACGGTGCTGTTCCAATACATTGATAGCTAAAGCTCCTTTGAAATCCAAACTAAGAAGCAAACCGTTCTTCACTGTTGCTAACAGATTGATTGGCTGGTACTCTCACAAATAAATCTTCCTAGGGATGTATCATATACTTTGGTCGTTTCGTCTCAACACTTATCACTGGAGAAGCTTTTCCGAGCTCTCAAAGCAAGACATCTTACAGAGTTACTTTTTTTCTTCAGTGGAATGGGGCTATGAAAACAGGTGTATTGTCTTCAAGGTCGCATTGATCCACCTGATGGACAACCAAGGTGCACGTCCAAGAAAGGCGAATTTCTGCTTATCTAATTTTCCGATGTTCGAAAGCGGGTGCAACAGAAGCTGCCTAGCAACCGATCCAGGTTAAATTTTCTGTCAGTTGCACAAAATAGGTATATCACTTTTATTGTTCTGCACTGTAGAAGCTTAAGTTTTGTTCTTTCTAGCGAGCGAATCAAATCATCAAATCATCATTGGACCTTGGAAGAGTAACTGGCGCAATCTCGGAAGGGACGAGCCCATTTCACGACTGGAAACGATAACGAAGTTGGAGACAGAATTGCCCATTCGTGTCAACTGGACAGTGGCGAAACGTCAACAGAAACCACCAACCTATCCCTAGTGCTTATTTGGCTGTCAGCTTAGAAGTGGCTAAAAGTAGTAATTCGTTAATCACAAAAGTTTTCTTCTCTGTGCCAGCGCGGGCATTTTGTCTAAATTGGCATTTTCCACTACACTACCCACTCACGGGGGTATAGCAAAACTGAGCAGTCATGTCGGTTCTTTGTACAATGCTCCTTTCGTCTACCCTTTCGCTATTCAGTCGATCAACGATCCCAACAGTTGGGTGTATCACACGTGACAACAGTACCGCGGTTATTTTATGTCCAGAAGCACCACAAATGAATTTGAACGTAAGTATAAAAGGAAACAAGTGTGATGTCCGAATGGATTCCATCACCTTAGCACCGGATGAGGAAGGTGCGTTTTGTTTGACGAAAAGTTTAAAAACCCAAAATATGTTGACTCATGAGTATTGCTTTGTTCCCAAATGTTTAGGTAAAAAGTCACTGCCTAGTGGGACCTGAGAACACCCCTAAGTGGGTGATATAAGCGATAGGAGTTGTTTAGTTAGTGCTGTGTCGTGCGTGACGTCTTCGAAGCATTGCCCGAGTCTGGTGGGAACACCGGATCAGCAATACTGAGGTAGGTGGAATGATATTCGCAAGAGATAACTCATCCACGACAGATGAACTGATCACACCGCATAGGTTACGCTGGCTTGGTCACGTGATCCTTATGCCAGTCGACCGGCTTCCTCTAAGGGTTCTTTTCGCACAACCAGGTGAAGGGTGAAAACAAGCCACGGGAGGTCAAACAACGACAAACAATGAAATCCATTACCAGCAAATTCAGATGTGCTGGCCACTGCCGTCTTCCTGGACGGGGTCCCGATACAGGACAAATCAACGGTTAAGAACATTGTCAGACACGACCCAGTCGAGCCCTCAGTGGCGCGCATGCATCCCATCCAAACGTTTGCCTTCAATGCATAGCTCCCCCCCAATGAACACACTACTGACAGTGCTGTATTTACGCGTCACTTATATCAACTACGGCTTCCATTGCGCAGCTACCCAACCTACCTGCCTAAATCACCGGGAAACGAAACAGTGGCAGCTAAAACAATTCTACAACAAGTACTCGGTTTTTACAGCTGACGGTGATAAAGATGACTACCCAGTTTAGGTCAGTTGTATTAGGCATGTGGTTTGAATTCAGAATGAACGGAGGATTAGTTAGCGGTATTTTCTTGCACAAGCATGTAGTCAAGATAAACACTAAGTTGCCTATCAACTACCCTCAGGCCAATTTCATTGAATACTCTGGGAAGCAGAATTTCTTCCGAGGCTTCCACACCATTATGTCCTTGCTCGTTTTCAGCCACAACACTGTAACCTATCCAGGGCAAACGAAGCTACGCGTAAAATAAAGCACTTACGTTAAGATCACGGATAATGAGATCATGGTTATCCAGTGTATACTTGGAAGATGCTCCGACGTCAATCGGCTGGTTGTCCTTCAACCACATCACCGTAGCCACCGGCTTCGCGTCTAAAACATTGCAGACTAACCGTTTTTCTGGAGCTCCGCTGATTGCAGTCTGTTTAGGGTCCGTGAAAGAGATCATTGGAGCTTCTGAAATTGGAAACAGCAAGGCACATTTTATAGACAGGTCGCAAAGTGGCCGCACTTTGAGAAGTGATTTTGCCATGCTACTACAAACTGCTCAGTAGTGCGAATAAAAACTTGTTCGGTATCTATCTGAGACCACAGAGCGTCCACTCCATCGATCGGTGTAGATTAATGAAGCAAACGGTAATAAATCCTACGGCAAAAAAATAAGATAAAAGTAACCAAATGAGTGGTGGAAAAGGCTTACTTGTTCCTCCAATATCCACTAGCACCGTATGGCTGTCCTTGCCGTACATGTTGACCGCCTCGCACACAAATGCCCCCGCATCTTCCATGTTGACATCTAAAATAGATGAAAATCATCAGTATATTTGTTTAAAAAAACTAGGTGCTTATAGCCGTCAATTTTTTGAAACGCTGGTAGTGCTGGGAAATGCCTGTTATCGAGGTATTTTGTACGCACTGAGATGCAAAAATCCATATCCTTTGAGCATTGTATATCAAACAACTTCAGAATATGTCCAATCCATTATTGATAGTGATGGACTCGTCCTGTCGTATGACAAAATTGAGAAGTTTTGGATTAGTTCTATTTTCGATGACTATAAATCAAGAAATCGAAGCCATTATTTCATCGGGTGCTAAGTAATATGCTGGAGAATAGGATAGTTTTCATTGGCTGCAACGTGGATCAAGTTTACAGTCGTAATAATCTTGTTAGAATCTAGTTGGACAGGGGGATCCTCATGATGTACCCTGTGTGAAATCAGGCTTGTTTCAAAAGTACCCACGAAAGTGTAGAGTTGAAAAATACGCCAGGATGTTTTCCACTCCCGCTTAACTGACGCTTTAAGTAGCCGGCTCCACATTGTATATACAAGCCACAGCAAAAGGAAACACGGCTGACATAGGCACAGAAGCAGCTATTTGCGACCTCAAGTCTGGCATCTGGTGTACCTTCTGGCTCACGTTGACCATGGTACAGCGAGGACGGCCTCCTTCATCAGATGGCTATTGCAGAGCTTAACACCTTTTCCGTTGAATTCTAAAAAGTCCACACTACTTTAGGCGGAATACGAGATAAAACTCCTCAGCAATGAGGATGTTCACTTACCCCGGATCGATAAGGAATTGTCAGCCTGAAGTCGATAGCGATCGCCATATTGAACAGGTAGATTGCCGCTTGGTGTGACTCGATACCATTTCACCATGGGCATGGGATGTCCTTCAACGGGACAGGCTAGAATGGTGTCCATGGAGAATTCGGCCAAAATTTTTCCGGGGACCATGTCTAATCGGAATTTCGGTGGATCTGACCATTGGACGGGAAATTGTGTTACGGTGTTGATGGATATCGAAGGAGTTTACATAGTCTCAAAAGAAATGACCAATAAATCCGACCAGACAGATGACTGTTTCAAGTTTACTGGCTTTCCATTCTGTTCGCTGTACACGTGAAACTCATCATCCTCTATTTTGTTAGGAAGTGGATTAAAGATGGATCTTCTCATGATTCACCGTACTAAAAGACCACGTGCACACTAATCGTGGCACTGTTTCATCCACAAGCATCCACTCACACGTTGTAGACTGTCTCGTATATCATGAGGTACCTACAGCAGTCCTCTCAAACACCACGATCGCTCATTCTGAATGAAAGTCAGTAATAGTTAAGTAAGAACTGCGCTGCAAGGATTTAACATAGTGATGGTAGTTTGTTGATAGTATTATCCGGATAGACAGCTATCCGTAGTATCTCACGGACCTCAAAGGTGATTTGCACTTGCCAGTAGATGACTGCTAAACCAGTCAGATTAACTCGTACTTGCACAGGATACGGATCCATTCATTCTTCGAGCACGGAACTGGCTTCGTCTGGTCACGTGCTGTCTTACTTCTCGAGTGACGACTTCTCAGATGAAAGGTCACCACATCATGTGGACTATTAACCGAAGAAATTAATCACACACATACACATAACGGCTATTTTGCCGTATAAATTTGTTTTTTTCAATTTTCAACCTTGTCACCGCGTCATCACATCATGTGGACTATTAACCGAAGAAATTAATCACACACATACACATAACGGCTATTTTGCCGTATAAATTTGTTTTTTCAATTTTCAACCTTGTCACCGCATCGATTTAAGCAATCCCCAGCTTCAATTGGTGCACCTTTTACTTTTATAGTTCTTTCTGTTTTTCCATTTTGCTCTACTTCTATAGTTCATATTCATCAACTCCACGAAATCGAGAAACGTCATTTTTATACCCTACCATCTTGCAGTTGAGTTTCGGATGACCCATGATAAATGTAACTCTACGGTAAAATGAACGCTGAAACAGATTGGTTTTCTGCAAAATAAACTTGTTTCGGCAAAATAACCCCATTTGTAGTGATTCTGGAACACAGAAGACATCCGCTTGGGCAGCAAGCAAACTTTGGGAACGTTCCCTGGTTCACTAAGGCTCTTATCTGCACACAGTACAGGTTAGGTTCCGTCAAGGACCACTATCACTAACTGGTCTTGTTCATATATTCATTGTGCGAGTGATTACAAAACTATGAGGTGATCAGAAATTGCGCTCCTCATTTCGGCTTTTTACTAGGTGAATGTGGACCCACAATAAAGCCACCGCAAAAAACCTCCTACAACAAGTCACCGGATACAAGTCGGAGAAAGAACCAAATACCAAAACCCGGGACCACGATTTCTAACGGAGCTTTCCTGGAGCATGTAAACATAGATGTTAGTCCGCGAGGGACAATATCTTTTTCCAAATATTGTTCTGATTTGTTTGCCTTCGTTGAAGAGTTTGTGCGGCAGTGAATGATTCTTTCCGGATGGAACGCGTTCGAACGTCTTACTGAAAAATCCTGTGTACTTCCTACAAAAATCGTGCTCTTAAGCTGCCTGCACTGCCTCACTATCAGAAGAAGTACTATTATGCACAAGTTCAATAGTATATATATATATAGTGTATAAAATCACATTGTGTATCACCTGCTGATGCTGATGATGAATAGAAATAAGTATGCATAAGTGTGCATACATTTCAAGCTAGGTGCTTGAAGGCCGCCTGTTTCGAATAGTTTATGCGATAGAACTCGCGGCTCACTGACAGTGTTCCTTCCTCCCATTTTATATGTTCCTATGGATTTCTATAGAAACAAGTACTAATCGTCACATTCCTCCTGGCCAATAAAATAAAACAGTTGCCGCGCGAAAAAACGTCATTATACCATCTCAGATCCCTGCGTGAAGAACAAATATGTGGATACAGCAGAAGGCTGTAGTACGGACTTACATCCAATATCCACAGTGACTGACTTCCGAGCAGTCCCCGCACTGTTCTCAACCAAACACGTCCATTCCCCTCGCATTCTTTGTTCAGCTGAAAGCAGTTCTAGCTTACCCTCTTCCTCGTCAATTCTAATCTTGGAGTTAGGTGTCACCTGGCAAAAAAAACGAAGCAAATAGATCAGAGAATATTGTGTGCAGGTGAGCAGTGCCTTGATTGGCGTGGCAATTTGTGCAAACGTAGTAGTCTAGAGGATCCAGGAACAACATACCGGGCTTCCGTTGAAATCCCACCTGACACGGGGCTTCGGTTTGCCCGATACATGACATGTTATTGTCAGAGGTTGCCCTTCAACAGGCGAGGAGGTCGATAGTTCGATTTTGTCAACAGTTGGACTGGCAATGAAATCCGCCGTGATTGTTCTGCTGTCGTTTCCGGCTGAATTCACTGCCAAACATGTGTACACACCGGCATCCTCCTCCTTCGCCGGCTGAATGATAAGTCTGGACTCCTGAGAAAGATCGGAAATGATGACAGAAATGACGGCAAATGGCGCACATGAGAGAGAAGGAGAATGGCAGATACATTTAGCTTGGCAGCGACTCCGGTTTACTGTAGGTTGTGCGGAGGATGGTGCCGCTTATTCCTCATAAGGACATATAAACCGGTGGATTTCGACACCAATCAATACGAATTACAGAACGTTGAGCGTCTGAATGGTCTACTCATTTTATGGGTCCCATCAGACATGGCCCAGTCGCGCCCTCAATGGCGCTCGTGTATCCAAGCTGTTGCCTTTAATGCATAGCTCCTTTTCCAACCCCCCACTTGACAGCCCACTGACAGTGCTAGATTTATGCACCAATTTATCATCTCCCGCCTGCAATGAGCAGCTAGCTACCCCCCAATTATCGTTGAACGAAACTGCAGCAGCTACAACCACTGTATGACGAGTACGCGGTTATGTTATTACAGAATGATGATGACAAGGTATCAGAGCAACCAGCCCAGTGTATCTGTATTTATGTCTATCCTAATCACATTCAGACTATTTATTTTAAGGATCGCTTTACACAGGCTGCCTATCAAGCTCGATTGTTCTACCTTAAGTTAGACCATTCTGGGAAAAGACAAAGTGAATTGGCCTCTTATCCTTCCGAAAACAGTTATATCAACTAAAGTATGGGAAAACATCAATTCTGTTAGTGAATCCAAAATGAAACATCTGGTCTGGCGACATAAGATGGAAAGATTTTGGCCAATTAATGTCTGGAATGGACGGAATTTGGCTTTTATTGATTAGCCTGCGGATTTTTGCTCGTCCAGTTATGGTAACTCTTCACACAATGACGCACGGTCGTCTAAAAGTTCCTTTTCGAGGAATTTTGCTGCCAAACTGCACGGTGTGCACTCAAATTATACAAAGACCAGGGTAACGATGAAGTCATTTTGGATTAACAGAATCGAAATGAATTTGGGTACATTCAAGTTTCAGCTAGAATCGATTCGTTGAACTGAATCTGACAACTTACCATAAAGTCCTCTTGAAAAGTCACCCTGGGCGATTCCGGTTCTTTGACAGAAAGTGGAGCTTTGTTGAACAGCCAGACAATCTTTGGTTGCGGTGTACCTTCACTTAAGCAGCTTAAAATAAGCGCCGAACCTTCTTTGAAGGTCACGCTGTCCGTGTCAAGTCGAATCTTGGGGGTAACTAAATTTGGAGAAATGCGTCTTGTTCAGCAAACTCGTGAAAGGTATATTACTTATGGTTTGTACACATGAAAACACGTTGAGCTTAAGGTTGAACAAAACTGTGTACTAATTTCAACGAGATGAGTGCGGCAATAGTGATACACTTTAAAAATGGTTAGGTTGTGTCTTCAAACAGGCATATATTCGCATTATGAATTCAAATATTCTCAGCTCTTACTTAATTGGTGGCTCCAGGACATCAGCGATCTGCTTGTATAGTGCAGCTGATATAACTCAGGATACTATTGCTCACCTGCTGCACATCCTAACGACATTAAACGACGATCGCGTGTCAATTCTCTGCCTTGTCACGTGACTGAATGTGAACCGTCTTCAACGGCGACAGACCGCCAGTCGTTTAACAGAACCAAAGCTCGACTGCACATTTTGCCTTTGTTTCAAACTTGCTATTCGTTCTATCGATGTGTATTTTATGGACGAGGCAGGTGATTTGATATATACTGTGGGCTGGTTGTAAAACTGAGTGTGGTGTTTTGGTAAACGACAGTGCTCTTTTGTGATCTGTCACCCGTATTTGGGTAGAAGGTGTGCTGCAGGACCATGACTGATTCAGTTGATTCCCTAATTAACACCACCGTAATTCACGAATGCTCAATTCGTACAATTCGTATTAAGTTAGAACATAAGGTTGACAAAGGCTTGGAGACTATGCCTAGCCGATGACAACCAGAAAAGGTGAAACTGGTATTGACCTGTCGAAGAGCTTTCAGCAACCCTGTAAGTGGTATGTTCCGTCAGAAAAACATGCTTCGATATCTCAAATATCATGTCAATTGGAACAAGGATAGGCTTTTGTGCGGCGAATTCAGTTAAAAGATATCATAAACTAAAGATTCTACCTAGTCTTTCATTGACATTCAGATAATTTACAAATGAAAATTGTTTATAATTCCATAACGTGATATTGGTTGTTTACCAACGAAGTTCAGTAAGGAAATGTGATTGTCTGCCAAGGTTCTAAAATACTTGTCGTTTCTGTCGTCAGTAACGGTATAGCCTTTATTGAGCGGTCCAATCACCAACGCCAACACTACTTGCTCTGGAAAAGATAGACCGTCCGGTTGCGCCTGGTCGTAGGCACCGAGATAGATGAAGATGGTATGTGCGCGCATGTGGAATGAGCCGGCCAGCTTTCCGAAATTTGTCAAATTTTTAGAGTTACTTAAGCAGCACAACTTCTAGGGCGTGAGTTGTCTATCGAGAATCAAACAAAAAATCGGTAAGAGTTCGACCGTGAAAAACTCGAATACCACATGAGTAGCTGCAAACAGATCCACTGATCTGTGTGTATTCGTACGGTAGGTATCAGGATGTCCTTTGGTCGGGGAAAACTGATCTCTTGGCATTGCTTTACGGAACATTTGTGCATCACTTTCTTCACAACAAACGATCAGGACGGCGGTTTCGTGAACTCCGCACACAGTCCGAGGAATCCCAGCGGTTCATCTAGTGAGTTTTCAAGTTGTCATAAGTACCGGAACGTAGTGCGCAAAATTGAAGGGCTGCTCGAATTCGTCCACCAGACTGCGCATGCTATTGGCATGTGTTTTAGTCAACCCAGGATGAATCCGAAAAATATTCACTCCGACTGATTGTTGTGTTTGGACCTTGGTACCTTACCCGCATCTCCATCCACGTCGTTCAGTTTACCTAGGGTGTTGTATTGCGGTCTGGACTTCGTTATGACCTGACAATAGGTTAGCAGACGTTGATTCGCTGATTTGTACAGGCCTGTAGCGGTCACTCACTAGGTCACGCGTCACAAACACCCAAATCACGTAACAATTCCTGTTCCCAATTGTAACCTTAGCCGACAACATGTGCACTGTAATTTCTGATCCGTTTTTGTATGCGCGGCTACCACCTACGTCACGCGCTAGGCTTGCGAACTTCAACTAAATCAGGTCAAGTTTTATTCCTGTTCGTGCAATTATCAAACACGAATGGACACCACTCTTTTCACACTGCAACTCGGCCCACACACAAACTCGCGCGCACAAGACAGGAAGTCAACCGAGCTCTACACCTATACGGTGGCACGACTGCGCACCACTAGGCGCCCGAACAACGCACTGATGATGTCACCTCGATTGATGATCAAACTTTGGCAATCCAATTGCCCGGCTCAGCGAACAAGCCAACGAACAAGTAGAGACCTTCAGGCAGAAGTAAGTTACGAAGTTTTGTCACAGGCATCGCGGAGCAGTGTGGGGGGTGTTAGACAGCCAATCCAAAACTAACAGCATCACCATGCAGCGTGTTCGTTATCGTCAACAATTCGCATTTCGCCGCAGCGATGTGAACTCAAGTGCTTGAGACAACATGCGTCAGCAGCAGGTGCTTATTGTCAAAGAAACCGTATTCCAATAGATCGGGATCATTCAAATCTGCAAAGACCGATAGGTAACTCGGCACCTACTCACTTTCGATAGTTCCAAGAAGAGATCAGACATGCCCCAACAAAAGACTTACCATGGATGTGTAAGAATCCCTCAGCATCGCTTGTTCCCCCTCTGTGTTCGGCTTGACAAATGTACTTCCCCGCATCGCTTTTTGTTGCTCCACTAGGAGAGAAAGATGGAAGAAGAAATAGGAAAGTTTGAGAGGAAGCACAAGTAGTATTCTACTAGGTGGACCAAAGTAAAGTATTTTACTTATCGCCACACGTTATACCTGCGAAAAATCTAAGATGACAGCGGAAAACTATTTCTAGGGTTTCGACCTAATCTACCGCACCAGCCACGATTTTTCGAAACTACTTGAATCCGAATGACTGTCAACTGGGATAGCATTTCTGGAAAGCAAACTCTTAGATTCAACCGTGATGAACAACAAGCTTGTTGAGTATTGATAACCCAAACCTTGGACGGTTCCGGAAATAATACTAGCGTGACAAACTTCAAGGATCCGGCTTCCATTCCCCTGCGCTTGGCCGAATTCCGGTCGTTGAAGAGAAGTAGCGTGTTCAGCTGCAACGCTCTTTTGGTGCCTAGCTGCCTTGCTATCTGAAGGAAGCACGAGAGCTGGCATACTGACAGGTTGTCCAAGCCTAGACAGGAGAAGTCGAGGGGCAGAGGTCGGGTTCGAACCACGGATCTTCCGGTCAGTAAATTCGCGCTCCAACCACTTGAGTCATTTCGCTCCTGAGCTATCTCGCGATGGGGGCTGTCAGCCACTGGAGTTCCACTTGACCTTGGTGAATATGTGCATCGATTGAAACTGGTGAACTTCATGAGGCTCTCAGAGAATTGCACGAATCCTAGACCGGATTGTAGTGACTGCAGTCGGTCAGGCGTTGAATTGCCATTTTCCCGCTGGAATTTGGATTCAGATGTATGTTTTCGGTATCCAACTAGGATATCTTATCACCAACTAGTTAGCTAGGGCAAGGCCTTCCTTTGTGATCCTGTCTGTTTGTACACCAGACAATACTTTCATTCCGAACTGTTGATAATTAAGAAGAAATCTCCAAAATTTTCAACCTCCAGACACTTAACTGCCAAGTTAAGAGATCACCACCACAGAGCTGGAAAAGAAACTTGCATGTCCTTTGCTGTGCGCTATTCGATATATATTCGACGCGATACGTGGTAGTAAACTTCCCATGGAATAACAGGGTCCCTAAGAAAACCTCGTCGCTGCTATTCATCATTCTGATAGGTTTTCGTGCAGACGGATGGTGACTTTGCTGAAGAAATATGTAGCTCGCCAAGACGGCAGATGTTTCTTTTGGTGTTGAAGACCCCATTAGTCATCACTTCCATTTTTTGACTGCTGATGAGAAAAAACAAACGAGGAAAACAAGAAAACAATTTTCGTCAAGTGATTAATGGTATCTCCCAGTCTTCACATGTTGTGAAAGTGAATGCTGTGAAACTCTCTTCGAGAAATACACTCATTTGCAAATCAATTTGGTTTTCATGAGAGACTCAATTGAATCTCTCGTTTACGATGTTGTGCAACTGAATGTGCTGCACACAGGCCGTCTCATGTTTCATTTGGCACGATATTCGAGATATAGCAGTATAGTTTCATAAGGGAAACTACGTAGAAAGGTCGTGGGCTGCCGAAGAGTTTTCAGCAACCTTGTGAGTAGTAGTTTCCTTTGTGAAACTCTGTTTACACGGAGACTTTCCAGGAGTCGCTGGCTGATGTGAATAGCATTATGTATTAGGACAGAAATGGATTGCAGTTGTGATAGCTACCAGCAGCGATTCCACAATGTCTGAGGAATCCCTAGTGGTGGAACTCGATTCGAAGACCAAACTGGCTCAGAGCTATCCAGGATGGCTGTTCAGATATCGTGTTTAGTTGAACAGGGGCTCTCCCAAACAAACGCGTTGACTGCCACAATGAGGAAATATGCCTGTCTGATAAAAATCTCAATCAGAATACGTAACAGGTAGTAAGGATATGAATGGACTGTTTCAAACCCAATGACTCAGCTGTCTATTCCTTTTCACCGTCGATTCTTTTATAGCATATATCAACGTATGGGTCCTCAATCACATAGATTGAGAAACGAAGGCCAACATAATTTAAACCGTGTTGTCAACTTGTCGTTTTGGTCGCGTCAAATAGGTGACAAAATGTCGAGAGTTTATGTTATATCTGATTGCTGTCCCCGCTCCAGTGCCTAGTGCCCGAAAAAAAACACGCCGACAAGGAACACAGCAGCTTTGCTACAACAATCGAGTGCGAGTGCCTAGCGCTATGTATTGAGGGGTCACTGTCTGACCTTGATCCAAGGCCGTCTCGCACTGTGTGACTTCAGTCCAAGATTGTTTGATCCGCGTTTAGAGTGGAGTTTTGAGGGTTTCAGTAGGTTTCGGGTATTCTGAGATAATCTTCAGGAATCTGGCCTTCCTGGCAGTTACATTAATCACAAGAGTCCACATTGAGGGAAGCTTTGGAGTGAATAGGGCGAAAGCAGAGACGTCTAATAGCACCCTTAATAAGACTGCCCCTATTTGTCCTGTTTGTGGGCTTTAAAAATATCTTTTCTCTAGTTCAGCGTCAAAACATTGATGCTTAGCTAACCGTTGCAAAGTGATCTCACAGAAAAAAAACTATCCCCTTACTTGATGGTGAGCTTGCTCGTCAACGCCTGAGCGGGCATTCCAGGACTGGCCTCCTGCGTGGTTTCAATACGATATCGACGTCCATCACGAAGTTCAAACGGAGTCTCCAGTCCACGATACCAACGCACTTTTACCGACTCATCCAAACTGAATATGGTGCAAGTGAGAGTAGCCACACCGGGTTCAACACTTGTGTTCCGGGGAATCAGCACACGTGGTGGTGGAGCTGACAAATGGGCAAAGAAAATCTTCCTCTATGAGAAGGGTCATAACACTGTGACAATGGAATAGGCGTTGACAAGTTATTCGAACAAGAATCAAGGCGGGATTCGAAATTCTTAGAACTGGTTGAAAAAAAACGAAGTGAGGAAAACATATGTTCCGATTCTAATGAGGTTTTATCCTTTAAATCAACAATACGGCGTTTTCAGCGGCTCAGAGAAATTCAAAAATTGTATGTTGGCGACAGTTGAGAAAGTACAACCGGTTCTGTGCAAATTACTGAGAGGTACTTTGTGACGTTTTGGCAGAAACCATCGTACCGTTGTACCAAACACTGTAATCGAGCAATCCCCAGTTGTGAAGTGGTAAATCCCACTCACTATGTTTCTCAAAAACTCTTAAGGTCGATAAATGTAGCCGAGCTTCTGCAGACAAAATGAATGGTTTTGATTAGATCCAATAAAGGTTCATACCGACCCGGTCATACTTATACAGCATTTAAATGCGGTTGAATGGCGAAACAGAGATGTGAGGGGCTAAAGAAGACGAATGTTAAAACCATGAACTGAACATGTCCAAAAATGGAATTACGAGAGCGCTAGGGAGTACAGCGGAGTTCTTGAGAGTCCTCTTTTCGATCTGAGATGAGGGTTTTTGATGGCTGTGTAGACTGTATGACAAAGAAGCAACTGCTTTTTGAAATAAAGATGTGAGTATCTCATTAGTTGCTTGAGTCCTAGATAACGTTCGATAGAAAGGAAATGAACTTCTCATGATAACAAGTGAGGACCGACTCTGTTCTGCATAGAACACTATATTTTTTTCGGAATTGTCTACCAACTCTGAAAATCGGAATTCGAGCGCATCACAAAATAGCCGCTTTTTTCACGAGAGGTGAAAAGGACCCTGAAGTCCAGATGGGTGCTGTAGGCGAATAGGCTCCAGATTCTGACCAAGTTGTTTGTGGCACACTTAGACAACGATGATTAATCAGCCATCGGATAGTTTCGATAGAGTCACGTGCTCACGACGAAGATGCAAGGAAACAGGAACGTCAGAAACGCTCATTGTTCACCTTACAGACGATCTATTTATAAGAAGAAACTGGAAGACGGCAATGAAGTATGAACTTTCACACCTATTACGACCTCAGAGCGGACTCATGAGAGAATAAGTAGAACGAGAAATTGAGGTTTACTGCTCAGATACGGCTGAGATGTAGGAAGAACGTTTTAAACCATTTCATGCCATACAAATAAATGCCAGAACGGGATCAAACCACCGGCAACGACTTACGCAGAATCACGACAGCCACCTCATCTTTGAATTCACCGTCAATTTTCGGATCGCCTTCAGTGATGGTTGGATGGACCTCAGCTGCATAGATCCCATGAGAATCTTCATTGGCATCGGTGATGGTGTACAACACGCTACCCGGTTGGCTGGACAAAGGATAAAAGATGTCAGGAATCCATGAATAAACGATGTGTCCGGAGTGCACAACACACCCATCAAGTCACATCAAGGTGAAGATGAGCTAAATGGACAGTTTTGTTTTATTTGACTTTGGACGGAAGAACTAAAACCAACCCTGTGAACAAACGTGGAGGGTGAATGCAGAATATAAATGTTCGACTTTAGGTTTTTCTCCACAATTACATGAATCTATTCCTGGTCCGAGTTCTGCATAAATACCACTGAAAGGAAGAAGGACTTCGCTGCAGATTTATTTATCAGAAAAAACCAGCTGACCAGTTACAGACCATTGGACAGGGAAGAAAAACTCTCATTTGCATCTTATTTACAAAAACTGGATATTCATCTTCTCCTGAATGCGTATTCTTGAACTTTCCTGGATATTCACTGACTCCAATCATTCATTGCTCAAGTCCAAGCAAATGCTACAGAGCGACTCCACAAATTCCGCAACAGATCTCCTCAAGAGACGCAAAGCGAAAATTCCACGAACAACACATACTACTCGCGTGCCTCCCCATCAGTAGTATAACCGTGACAGGATGTCGTGAAATTGTCTGTCACCTTATTTCTTGTTTACTTAGTTCGTCTATTCCACATGCGGAGTGATGAGGCACGGCGTTATCAGTAGTGAGTTTCGGAGTGTGCAGTTGAATTCTACGGTTCAACGGACCCAGGCCATATATTCCCGGGTATACGAATCTGTTGGCCACCTTCAGGTACAGTTTTGGGACTGGCTAAGCAAACGAACTCTACACCTTTGGTGATAACAGAATTTGTAAAAACAAGTTGACCAAAACTCATACACATTGGTTAGAACAAAGGTGTCTCGTTTATTGTAATCTACTACTCATAAGGTTGCTGAAAATCCGTCGACAGCCCACGACCGGTTTCGCCCTTCTTGGGGCTCATCAGGTAGGCGCATTTCCCGGGTTTTCGTCGACCTTATGTTCTGCTTGAAACCGAATTGCACGAAATTAGCGAAATACATTCATTTGCAAATCAATTTGTTTTGTCGGGAGTAGTGCATTACAAATATATACATGTATTGCGATATCTCGAATATCGTAGCGACTGGAACATGGGGCGGCCTTATGCAGCACATTCAGTTGCCTGAGAACATCACAAACGAGAGATTCAGCTGGGGTTCCAGGGAGTCACTCCAAAAACCAAATTAATTTGCAACTGAGTGTATATTCGCTAGTGTCTCGTTCTTCTTTCTCCCTCTCTCACCCATCCGGAGGCGTGACTTACTTGTAGATTTTATTCTCATCAGCATGTCCGGCCAAATGTCTCCCATCTTTGTACCACTTAATGGTGTACGGAACCTCACTGTTTACCGTACACGCAAGCTCAGTGGTCGCACCACGTTGAAGCTCAATCTTGGGTGGGCATGTGATGACGATAGGACGTGGTTTCCGACCAGAAAGGGCTACCTTGGAATAGCGTTGAAACGGAAATCCTTGACCGTCACGACCGGAAACCTGAATAAAATTTGGAATAGTAGTCGTTAAGCCAAAAATATATGATATTTCGCAAGCAGCTATGTAGCGCTGTTTGAACTAAACTGTTGTTTGCCATGAAGAGTGACCCTCAACTTTTCAGTTGCAACAATTTTGCAAGTAAACTGAAATGTTGATGAGCATCTCACTGATTATCGAGGTGATTGGCGTGCGATTCGCGTGCGATTCCGCATAGAGGCACGAAAACCTGAAAAATAAAAGCTACAGTCAAGCTCTGTCCTGGTCTCGTTATTGATCGCCCTATTCAAGAGCAAATGAATTTGCTGGTTGCATTTTCTGTCCAGTAAACTCAGAACTTTTAGGATAGCATTGACTGTAGTGAGTTGTACCGCAACAGAAAGATCATGGAGAGAATTTTGAATAAGTGACTCGAAGGACTTGAGTTTGAGTGTTTATAACAAATCGTTGTGTATGTGTATTGTCACTCAAGTCAGTTGCCGTCGAATTCACTTATTCACTCCAGGCTTTGCTGGTCTTTGGGTAGCGCTAGGCTACGCGGACTGACGCCGTTGTACTGCCGATAGTTTCGAAATATTAGTAGTTCGTGTGTGTTAATCGGCTGCTGATCAGGTGACCATTCTTTATTTCACCGAATAGGATAATACGAGGAGATGTTGTCAGTGCCAGGTTGAGCGGGTGTTCCCTGAACAATTTCCCAATAGACAAATTTGATGAAAAGAATAAATCCGCCGAAGACTGAAAACGTTCAACTGACCGACCAGATGGACGAAGGTGGATCTGAACGTGAGACAAACGCAAACGGGCCAATCGGAAGGTAGAAACAGAGCTACTGAAATTAGGATATCCAGTCAGCCAATCATTTGCGAGCAAACTGGTCCATAACGCAAAGGAGACCCTAACTCGGTCGACCAAGTCATAAGAAAGTAGAATTTTGGGGAACCAATCAGGTTGGAAGTATTGGCTACTCTCTAGAAACCATATGAAAAAACTAGAAACTGATGAAATACCCACGCAATTGCGTACTGATGTTTCCTCATAAAGTGAAATGAAATTTGTAAGCCAGTTATCAAGCTCGACGAATACATGAAATGTCAACTGATTAAGAGCCAACTATTATATTGCATGTGTACACGTTCTTCCTCATCCAGTCAATCATACAAACAGCTGAATTGTGCTAATAAATGCACCAGAACTAATACATCACTGGCCCGTCACAATCCTTGCAAACTTTGGGCCCCAACCGGCGTTGTTCTGCTGATAAGAAGAACCCATTTTGACCAATTATTAGCGTATGGAGAGCCTAGAAGTCAACGTGCCACTTTTTTCATATTTGAAAACATTAAGATGAGCTGTAATTCTAAAGTTAAGCGGACATGTGACCATGAAAACTAGCATGAGTGTCGTTACCCAGAGGAGTTCTTGATCCTGATGACCGGTGTCTCGTCTAGGACAATCTAAGTCCACAGCAGAGTTACACGGGGTTTTTCTATCCTGGGTGTGGTGAAATGCGACATGAGGATGAGTGGATATGCACAGAGCTACGAGAATGTGTGAAACATTAAAACATCTTTTGCACTACAGTACGAGAAGGAACTCATTTAGTCGAGTGGTACCAAATGATCTGTGCTCGTAAGTAGCAAGCAATTCGTTTCTCCGAGTTGAAACTATCTGTCTTGGTTGTTTAAAAAGAGACTCGCAAAAACGACCAAGAGAAAACCGTCAACAATATTAATTTTTGAATGTTTTCACTCTTCATTCGTGACTTTTCGCGCAGATGGTCAAGACTCTCAAATTTAAAGTTATAATAATCTGCTGAAAAAGAACGAAGGCGATGACCTACAGTCTACTTCCGCGACACTTCCACCGCCTTCCTTCGAAAAACTCTTTGAATGGCGGCCTGTTGTGTGGTTTGACATAGTTGGGGGAAAGCAGAAGACCTTTCACAGTTTTTCAAACTTAATTACGTATCTCTTTCAAGGTGTGGAAATTATTCATGCACACAGCAAGGGACCAATCAAAATAACCGGGAAAACACTCGTTCCGGTGTACGGTTTCGCTCCTTGAAGTGATTTGCCTTCACATTGCACATTCTGAGAGGTACAAGCATGACCCCAGTAGAAGTCTGCGTTTTGTAATTTACCAAGTGAGAAAGCTATCAGCCACAAATCAATCAAAATAATCAAGCGTTTGGACCGATTCAGTTGCTGTCAGCGCTGTTCTGCTTGGAGCAAGAGGAAACAGGCAAATTTCCCCAATCAGACCACGGGAAAAACTTTTGGGAAAATCCCCAAAGAGACGAGTCGACTGTTTACTGAAATGGATTCTGTCAACATTCCTAGGGTGTTACGATTTTAGATGTGCCAGTTATAGGAAAGTGGAATTACACGTGGCGATCTTTTCTATGATGGATTGGTGCATCAACAACGACGTCTTATTCTGGGTCGTAGACAATATTTTTCGTCCCTCTTGAGCTTGACAAGCGTCGACAGCCTATCTTCGTATACATACATTTATATATCCCCACTTATTGGATAACCACACGCCCATTGCACTCTTGTTGTGCAACGAGAACTGACAAGTTTCCGCAAAACCCAGTACACAGCACCTTCTTTTTTACTTCCTTTCATTGGGGAAAAGAGTGACCGCCATTATCATAGGGACCACCATGATACAGCCTACCAATTTCAAAGTTTCCATTGGGAAACTCGATGAAATACACACCTGATCATCCACTGGTTTTCGGATTCTTTGAAGGTGTTTGCATTGAACAAACCGTTGATTCTTTTTGTTTAAAAATGCCGGAGAATTTCCATAGTAGGTAAGTGTACATCCTGACAATCTCTTGAACGCTGCACGGCCGATCTTTTGTTCGAGTGAGTTATATGGGAATGAAATCTAACTGTATAGCTCGCTTGTGAATCAACCTGGTGATTTAGAATTGCAATAACCTCATGTGCACTTCGCAAGGTGTAGTTGCCGACGGCTGGATGACTGTCCAATAACTGGTGCTGCTCCTAACCTAAAAGTCTAGGCGGCGTTAGCGACCATCCATTGCTATTTGTGTTCTCTCCTGTACGAGTATAGAAGCTCAGCAATATAAGGTCACATCGAAGAGCTCCTTAATCCAAAGTAGTAATAGCGTCCCGTTCACATTAAGTGCAACCGAAGGGATCTAAATTATGCTTAAAAAGGCCTTTTGGGTGGTAACTCTCGTGAATACAAATGCGTTTACTTTTCTAGTTCTAAAAGCACGATCAATAAGTCAGTGTGTGTCCATTCGAGTCTGCAACGTGAATGGAGTTTGTAAGTAATCTTTTGAACACAGAATTCTGGTGGGTAGCCAGTTTAAAACCTCGATAGGTCACTAGGGAGCTAGTTACCGCGTGGATCATGTCATGCGCACACTTGCCTGCAGGTAAGCGTGTTCCGAGAGCGGATCCATTGCATGCTGACTGACAAACACATGACTTGTTCCAGTTTGTTTCATAGGCAACCGAACCAAAGATGTCCCGTTGGGTGCACGCATGTCCAGGTGGTCCAGACGTCCCGGTTGGAATCGGCCAGTCATGTTAACCATGACAAAATTCTTCACACCTGTGGTCAAGAACAGTGAGAGGTTGGTTTTGGTGATTAGGAAAACTATAGGAACATGCAATCCTGTCACGTGATCCGGAAAAAACATACGGACATGCAATCCTGTCAAGTACATACACGTCTTAACGCTTGCGTGGTCAGCGGGTCAGCAAGCGGGTATACAAGCCTGGTGGAAAGATAAACTTCAGGATTTGAATGGTCTCTACTTGTTGAGGTATAGACTGAATAGACTAAAAACTTTCCATCCCAAAGAAACTAACCCTTACCAGGGGAAGCCTGTTTGTGTCCCTTCTAGGGAAGTTAATTTGACTAGTTTGTGGTCTTTCGAAACCGCGGAATGCTTACGAGTATTCAACAGCATTCAATTGTACATCCGATCACTTGTAGATTACGAAGTAAATCATGTCAGTTAGAAGAAGCTCTCGTTTATGTATGTATCCAGAAACGAAAAAGTGGAACGTCCATTTATCATCAGAGCTTATGAGTGGGCCAACCACATTTTGGGGTGACAAAGGGGCCAAAATGACAAACACTGAGATCCCATCCTGGAGAAAACGTCAACCCTTATATCTCAAAGCTGGTGAGCATTGTACAGATATTATTTTGAGAAGTTGACAGTGACGTATTTCTCTGCTTAGCTGAGTGAACATTCTTAATATGGGCATTCTGACGACGCACCAAGTGGAGTGAGGATGGAACAGGTAGAAGAGCTGTATGATTTGAAATGACCTAAGTATCACTAAATACTAAATATTGGAAGAATGAGTCCCTTCTTGTTAGCTAACCTCAAAAGCGGGATGCCAACGATCGAATCGGTAACGAGGGTATCGGGATCAAAATGGCACTCGATGTAGAATTCGACAATTACTCTCATTTGCACACGAACTTGGTTTTGACAGTAGGCTCAAATGAATCCAACTGAGTCTCTCGTTTATGCTATATAGAATATCGGAACCAAATGTGAAAATCAGATTCGTGTGCACATGAGACTATTTGTCGAAATCTGTCCAATTTCGGTTCGAGTTAAACATGAATTTGACGGAGAGGAGGGAACTGCGCGCACCTGATGTGTTTCAAGATGGGTGAAATCAGTCGTGAGTTGTGGAGGGGTTTTCAGCGACCCTGTGAGTAGTATTACACGTCTAGGCGCTTGATATATATTGCAGAAGACAAACCTAAGGCGACTTAATCTTACCCGCAATGGGCTGTTGCGACCCTGCTTGGTTGTACTCCTTTGGTGTAGTGCTGAAGCCTTGTAAGAAATCCACATCGCTGATGCCGGAAACGCGTACCGAGAACCACTGTTCTTCATCCTCAAGGTCCATTTCTCCAATCGAAGCCTCCTTACCAGCAGATTCGTCCGGTTTGGTGATAACCTCCAAGGTCCACTCCCCTGGTGTCGGCCGATCCAAAGAGCCAACAAAAACCGAAGAGACTGCTTTCATTAAACGTTTCAAACCATCTTCTGGGCCAATGAGTTTTCCTAGGGAAGGGAAAGTTTGTTGGGTTGAATTCAGTCGGTTGAGTTGGCGAGAAAAAACCCACAGAAACATCCCACTATCTGTTTGCACCTAGAAAGGCTAGAACATACACTTATTCCAAGTCAGCGCGTTCCTTGATTTGTATTGGTTCTTGACACCAAGTATACTTCGGAGCATTACCATCTTCTGTTCAAGAAGATGGAAGAATCCCCGCTAATTTGGACAAATGCACTCATTTCGTATCGATTAGGTTTTCATGGTACACCTGACTGAATCCTGCCTTCATCAACCCTATGAGTAGTGTCCTTTGTGAGATTCCCCACTTACTACACACCTATTGACACTTGAAAGACCAAGTGGTCCTTTGGGATCTCGAATTTGTCACGAGTTGACAATCTCGCGTGGTTTCGGTAATCACTTGAAAATCCGCAAAGTTAAGAATAAACAGACTAAAAAGCGGAGCACGGAGTTTGGGGTTTTCTTCAGGTTAAACACCTAACGAATTGATTTGTAAATTACCCTACTGTTGCATGCAACAGCACTAAGGAATATAAGGCTGCTATACCATGTTTGGGTGTCCATTCAAGCCTCACCATTAGACTCAAAACGGACTACGAACTGCCGGAACCAACTTTTGCGTGTGCTCGCCCGTATACTCACTTTAAGCATCGCATCTTTGTTGTACATAAAATACACGGAAGTTGACCGATATCTCTGGACTATGCAACGAAGTATCTAGTTCAGGCACGATCTAAGCATATTGTACCCACACGGATCACTCTACCAAACAAGAAGATAGCTGCTACGTAATCCGTCGGGAATCTAACGAAACGGTCACGAAGTGTGAGATCCGAAACTTTGTCCATCGCTGAGTCAGCTCAAGATTCGGTCAAGCTGCCCTGAACTCTGTGGTCATAGCTTTTGAACCTGCATTGGTCCATAAATAGTTCAGGTACACCATCCACTTAGACAGCGATGCAATTCCTTCAGTTGAATAAACCCGCGACCCCATTGAACCCCTCCGTTCATTAGTAGGCTGTTTCGCCGCCCTGTACCTATATACATATATATATATACTCATATTTAGCTTAACGATAATTATCATGGAAAAAACTAGCACTCTCCGCCAAGCTAGTTGTTCTGACGTATTCTGCAAAAGTCTGCCATGGGTTGTTCAGTCGAAAAATCTGTTTCGTGCTTTTGGGGATTTGAAATATTCACGTCCGAAAATAAACAATGGTCTGCCAAGTTATCGTCAAACATTTATGAGGGTTTCGTTGTCGAATAGCAAGGTTTGACAGAAATTTCGCGAATTATAACAGGGGTGAGATTGTTTGATACTGTTATATCCGCTTATTCGCCAATCTGACGAATTTGCTGCTGAACCGCCCCAGTGCCTAGTGCCGGAGAAGAAGGGAACACAACAGCTATATTCCGAACAAGCTAGTGCGAGAGTGTGAGTGCGTACGAGAACGAGAATACAACGGTCTCAAGCTATTTATTGGAAGGACACTGTCTGAACTTTGTCCAATGCTGATGCACACGGTCTGGCTTTGGTACGAAGCTGCGACGCGTCGCAGCTGACCTTGATCAACGCTGACTCTCACTGTCTCGGTTTGATACAGGGTTGTGAAGCGCTGCATACTGAGAGGGAACTGTCCGTTTGGTCAACATCTAGCGCAGCTGAGATTCTCGGTAGATTTCGGGCACTCAGTGGTTGCTTTCAGAAAGCTGACCTTCCTGATAGATACAAAATTTACTTAGCTTAAGTTATGGAACTTCTTGGGATACTGAAACATTTTGCAGAAAACCAGGTCTAAACCCCAGCCGAATTTTGGTATCTCCGGTACGGGACGATAAGTACCGGTTTGAATTATAGAGTATCCATTGTATATTATTAGCTATGGTTTTCTTTGATATATTTTTTCATTGTGAACATCAGGATCACGAGTTTAGCCATGCGGTTTAAGCTCCACGCAGTGTCGCTTGAGTTCAGTGTTGGCGACCAACTGGTTGCAGATGCATTCACAAAAGGATGACCGCCACGTTCGTATGGCACGCCGATGTTAATTCAACCGTGCAAATAGGAGACCGATGGTTCAGTTGTAGCACCCTTTCGATGTCTAGCAGCCATGCCACCCGAAGGAAGCACAAGGGCCGGGATACTGCCTAGTCACCCAATCCTAGTCAGGGTAAGTCGAGAGACAGAGGTTGGATTCGAACCACGGGTTTCCCGATCAATAGATTTGCGCTTTACCTACTAAACCTTCTCGTCCCATGACGTCCGAAATGTTTTTTGTTTGGATTAAGCTGTCCGTACATACGGTAATGATCGTCACGAAAGAACCGTTGAAAAGAGTCCGTGTCGAGGATATCACCTTGTTAACAATGAGGTGATTTAAGATGAGCGCTCTAACCAGTTAAGCCATCTCGCTCAAAGCGAGACTATGAGATGGTACAAGAACAAAACTGAAATGTTTGCAAAGTCGGCATTGTACTGCCTACTTGACAAGTGTAAGTCCAAGACTTTTCGTATCAGATGAAGAGTTTGGAATTTCGACGGAGCAACAAATCACGGTGGATTTGAGCTACAAGCCTACTGAGGAGCAGTGAACCTGATCTGGGGCCATGTTCACTTAGTTTTCAAGGGTAACCTTATCTTTCTCGGTTCGGTTGATTGAATAGAAAGTATTTTCTCGTGTTAACCTGTACGCGTGCCCGGTTTGCCAATCTTTCGACTCACGGTTGCTTTTCGGAGGTCAATTTGTAGTTTCTGCTGCTCACTTCTATATTACCAACAAGTTTTCTAGTCGTGTGCATCTTATTTAGTGTATAAAATATCACACTGTTCTGCCCCATCACTGCATTACTACCACTGTAACGGTGATACTACTGATGGAGGAGACATGCGAGTAGTATGTTTTCTTCTTGTAAATTCGCTTTGCGTCTCTTGAAAAGGGGGACCTGATGCGGAATTTATGGATTCGCTTTGCAGCATTTGCTTGGATTTGAGCAAAAGTCAATGAATATCCAGGAAAGTTCAGGAGGAGGCGTTCAAGAGAAGATGGATGTTCAGTTTTTGTAAACAAGATGTATATGAGAGTTTTGTATCCGTGTCCAATGGTCTGTAACTGGTCGGTTGGCATCTTCCAATGAATAACTCCTCAGCGAAGGCCTTCCTCCTTTCACCACTGCCTTGTCTTTAGAATGGTTTCTTCGAGTAGTTCATTGTGGTTTTTTTCGAAGCCTAGTGGGCGGTAGCTGGCTGCTGTGCACTTGCAATGAAAAGGTGCACAAGCGAAAACCAGCTAGTGCGGAGTACGAGCTGTAGCCTGAAGATGGCTGAGCTGAGGGCGTTCTCGTTCCGCGTCGCTCGAAATCTTTCAGATCGTGTTACGTAACCGACTCCAGTGAGAGCATTCTGTTAGTCCTGGTTTGACTAACCGGCGAAATTTCGTCTGTGGTTGTGTACTGGCCCCCTATTGGGTGGAGCAATCCCACCGACTGGGTTCTACTCCAGTATGATACTCGCATGCGTTTACTTACACGTCTCCGTTTCAGCTGTCTACCAGTCCATTATTGGGGGGAAGGTAGTTGATTTGTGGAGATATTACTACACACGATGATGGTGGCGAGATGTCTTTCAGATCGTGTTACGTAACCGACTCCAGTGAGAGCATTCTGTTAGTCCTGGTTTGACTAACCGGCGAAATTTCGTCTGTGGTTGTGTACTGGCCCCCTATTGGGTGGAGCAATCCCACCGACTGGGTTCTACTCCAGTATGATACTCGCATGCGTTTACTTACACGTCTCCGTTTCAGCTGTCTACCAGTCCATTATTGGGGGGAAGGTAGTTGATTTGTGGAGATATTACTACACACGATGATGGTGGCGAGATGACATGGGCAGCATGATGCCATAATCTAATTGTTGTGGACCACACTCTCCTCTATACCTTCTTATTACCGTGAACCAGAGTCTGGATAGCCGCTTGATATCCTGACGCGCTTGGCCAAAACCAGAAAAGTCAATGAACATGCGAATCAGCTGATCTATTGATCACTGACGCATGCAAGCGTGTCATGTGCAGCCGAAAACCGGCTGTTTACAAAGGTCACGTGGAAAGTTCTAGGTGGGCCAAAGTGATACTAAAAAGAGAACTCATCTGTCAAGGTTAAGTGAAGGACAACCAATCAGATTTGTCTCAACGAAAACGGTTGTTCCATTATCCCTTGTGTAGTCTAGTTACGTTTGGAGCTGGTCCTCCTAATACTAATCCTGAACTCGGACAGTAGTATGCATTGCACCTAGTTCCGTTTCGTCCATCCTACTGGGAAAGCATGGGGCATTCTCCCTATTGACTGACTGGCTGATTAGTGTAACATCTATATCGGAGTATGGTGAGGATATTTACCATTTATCTTAAACTATGGGTTGCAACACTTGCTGACAATTCGTGATCAGATTGTGGTAGAGGGTCTATAGGCTAATTTTATCAGAGCCAACGGTTTCAATTTCTTCTACAGGATGTGTTATAGTAGTTTTATAAAATAAAGTCACCCCAATGAAAAATCCCACTGCTAATCTTGCATTAAAAGTACTTTCCACGCATTCCATCATTAAGGGGTCAGAGGCAAATGTTCAACTCAACACTCCCGATAGTTTGTGCGCCTTAATAAACGATTTACTACATAGCTCATCGTTGCCCTGACCAGTTTCAGTAAGTTTCGCTTAATTCCGACATCCTGACAGGAGATCAATTTGTTCTTGATCACGGACGTTCACCGGGGACGACGAAAGATGACTGGAGATCCCGCTCACACGTCCACAACATTTGACTAACACACTAAAGCTGTTGTGCTCACTTCTGCACTGCAGGTCTTCCAGACGTGTGAAAGAAGTGGAAGCCCAAAAGAGCAGTTCGTTGGAGCAGATTTCTTATGTGGGTTGGATGCAAGCCTTCACACAGAGGCTTCGATCTCGGGCTGAAAGAATCAAACTATTCAATCTGTTGTGGAAAGTTCAATTCGCCAATACATCTGAAATGCTAATAATACTCATGCTTACAACTGAAAATGGCCACTACTGGGGTGAGAACAGACAGGTCGTGAGCCAAAGGATCTACGACGTACGCTTGACCTGAATAGGGGGGCTCCTTAAGAGTTTGGACTGAAGTGGTTGAGTGAAATTGGACAAAAATGACTGTAGCTGTGGACGGCCAGACATTGGAATGATGCTCTTACAGGGTGTGCTTCGCGAATTAATCGGTCCATTGGACATTTTACATTAGTTACATCGGCTGGAAACTGTCAGTCCTTTCTGTTTACGAGGATATCCAGAAATGATAACTTGGTGACCAACAAAAGAGTCTGTCCGGCGAAAAACAGTCGATAAGGACATAAAAAACCTGGTCGTCCAAAAGCTTGCTGTTATAGTGGGGTGCGTGAAAGAGGCGCTCATTCAACCATTCTTCACTAACCGTTGAACTTCGTTTACAAATGTCATTCGATCGACAGGTGGCACTTTTGTTCAGTGACACTGACGCATCACGATATAACCACAGATACTACAGTTCTTCCGCTCTTGCACACACAAGGCAGGCGAACCCGTTTTCGGTTACGTAACACTGAAATTCTTCGTGAAATCTCAAGCGTTTTACGCCAATTGCTAGAGAAAAAAATCAGTCAACGTAATCGATCTGTCATAGCACAACAAACAGAGACCCAACTCGTACATCTGCTGGCAATATATCGCTTTGTGAAAAGATAACCGCTACGGTGGGAGGAGAATTCTGAGAATAGGAATGAAGTCAAATAGCAATGTACGTAAAAACAACATTCCTTTGCGCCGAGGATTCCTCTCTCCGCCGGGAATGTCACCCAGGAAGACACACTAAATTATCAGATGCCAGTCGGCAACGCACAGAAAGTTATAAATTTCGTCTTAAGCGCCCGAGCAACAGACGACAACCTCACGGATAGTCTCTTGTTTCCCGCATCCCAACACATCCAAGCTTTTGTGTACAACAGATGGGGTGGTAGGAGAAGCCAAAAATCGATAAATCGATAGCGTCGGGCAATACAACGACCTGGGGATTGGTACACTCCATTGAATTTTGCCGTCCCGTTGAAATGGTACCAAAGGACGTGAATAGCTACATCAATCCCGAGTCAGTCGATCTTATGCGTTGAAAATAGACGGGTTGTTTGTTCAGTTTTGTGTGAGAATGAAGATGCCAACTCTGTGGGAACAGTCGCGGAGAAACAACAAATTACCTGTGTACAAGGGCTTAGTCAAGTTGTTGTATATCACGCACCTAGAAGGGGGCGCGTGATGTGCGCAATCGGAACGCTGGTTGAGAAGTCGAATGGCTGAATTTGTCAAACGTAGGTTTTGGTTGGAAGTTACAAAGTAACTGTGGGAATTCTAGCCATCCTGGTCAAATAACGTAGAGTGAAAGTCACACTTATTTGAAACCACTCACATTAACGAAGGAATTTTGTAGTATGCTGCCCACAGGTTTCAACCTTGATTTAGTAATGAACGCGCCACGACTAAAGATGTATCCACTGAGTGAAACGAAAATTGCTTCTGACTCAGGAATATAAAACTGATAACGAAGCTCGAGCACTTTAGAGAGATCGAACCCGCGTTGGGGCGGTTCATCCTAGAATGACAATTACACCCAGGGTCACCAGCAAACTTATGATTTCAAAACTTTACAAACGACCAATTCGTTTATATCTGGATTGAAAATGAGTAAACTGAATAATGACGACATGAGCCACCGGATAAAAAGAGCTATGAAGCAGTCATCTAGACACTCCAAATCGCCAGTCGTCACCTTGAAATCGACTGACCATCTTTGTTGCCATAACCGCTGTGAATTGATTTATTGGTAGAACGGATCGGTCAGCTGTTAGCCTGTTCACCAAACTTGGCTACTTGGTTTATGCAGGTTTCGTTGGCACCCATCATCGGTATCATCAGTGACCCCACCCAAATGCGCACTGATAACGTCCCATCAAGTGGTGATGAAACACTTGTGCGCCATTTATCAAGTTCGGCGACTTCCACCTGGCCAACAACTGCTGACCACACGCTGTAGTCTCGTAGTTGTCAGAAACAGAACAAAAGGGGTTGTGTCCAGCTCACCTGCATTAAATGAACTCTGACGTGAAGTGAAGTTGCGACAAAGAGCTCAACAACAAAGGGGAACATGTACCGCTAACCAATCGAACGAACGTAGCCACATGCGCAGCGAATGATGTGGCCTTTAGGCCTGGCTAGTATTCACTGTCCTACACTTGGGTTCCACCGTTCAATGGCTTCGGGTGAAAGTTCACTAGTTTCGTCTTTCTTCGGTGTGCTTTTCAATAAGTCCAAGGAAAAAACAACTGCTAGTAGAAGCTAATCATACAAAACAGCCAGCCACCAACAACTAAGCGGGCCCTTTCAAAACCAAAAGTCTCGAAAATCGATACCATATTGATTGCCCAAACACTGCAAATGAGCCACTTGGGTCAAACATCCAATACATAGACCAACTGGAAGGCAAGTGGAGAACAAATTATGCGTGACTTACTCTGCGGGTTTCGAATGCGTACATCAATTGCTTGTCCTCGCTTGTGATTGGCTACCTGAACGGTAAGCTGCGACAGGTGCGAGTCGACGGGAAAACTGTAGATCTTGGCTTGTTCTGAGTACGTATCCTGTTGTAAGATGTGCACTTTCCTAGCCTCGACTGCGGCTTCCACTACTTGCATAAACTACATGAACAGAAAAGAATTGATGGCTATGACGAAACTTTGTACTTCAAACGAAAAGCCCGAAGGCCTAGTCTAAGAGTCAGTGGACGAATCCTAACACCGTATGAGAGGAATCTTAGAGAAGTTATGCTATCGATTGGTCCACTTGTGATATTTTCAATGCGATCAGATTGTATATTCATGATACCAGTGGAAAAAACGAATTAGGAACCATTATTGGTTCTATGGGCAAACATCTATCGCACAATTGGGTAAATTTATGGACACATTTTTGCTTGTTTGGCGACCTAGGTGTGCTTTAACGCTGAAGGTAGCCAAGTTTTACTTGCCAAGATCTAAAAAGCTCCCGTGAAGTTTCGGCTAGGCATTGGCTTCATCAAGGATAACAATGCAATCTTAAGGGGTTGACCAGCAAACCCATCCAAATGCGCATGCTGGAATGGTGTTGAAAAGTTTACCAATCGAATGCCAAACTTGACAAACATATCACTGAACAATGTTAGAGGCTAGATTAGCTACCAAAGATGAACCATCTCAAAACTAAATTAAACAAGCTGGGTCCACCTCGTGATCACGACAGACTGGGTATTCAAAAGCAAGTTGTCTGTATTTTGTGTTGTTGTCAAGCTGTACTTTTGGTGATTAGTAATCCCCAGCTTATTTGAACATTCTTTGCTGTTCTCCAAGACAAGCAAAACATTATCTACTCTCAACTAAGTCGCAACAACAAATGCCTGTCCGTCTTCAGGCGTTACTCGTCCTCGGCGCGCTTTGAATGATTCTCAATAGCCGAAGACATGGTCTCAGCTTAGTGAGTCTTGATCAACAATCTAATGCTGGACAGAAATTGCGTCAAATCTGATGTGGAAATATTACAAATACGAGTACACCTTCTACTGTCGACAGGATTTCATTCGCATGCAGGAGAAATCGGTCTGTTTGATAACCTCTGATTGGCGGGATTGGGCGTAAACTGCGAGACTGTCGATTCTTCGAACACAACTTATTTCACACATCTCGGCTTGTTAGTCCGTCGGATACCTCTTTTGACATCTGTCCGAATGGCTCTTCAGCGGCTCTTCCGCACGTCAGCCGAACCAAACTAATCAGAGGGCGCGCTCTCTTTCACAGTTTTCCAGCTACCCAACAACAAAGCGACAAAAATTAAGAACATTACAAAAATAGCGAACGGTTACCCTCCACGACACTGCGAACTGTCTACTGGTCAGGGTAGTGTAGTAGATGTATAAAACAGACCATCAAATTTGGAAGCGCGCTTTTCTTAGGGTAGGACGTAAAAATTCGTGGTGTGAAAAAGACTTATGAAAGCAGAGGTAATAACTCCCAGTGTTGAATCTGCTTCTCAAAACTTTCAATCATTGGAAGTGGAGAACCTACGTGTGCCATAGGTCACAGCAACCAGGAGCTCCGAACATTGCACCAACAAAGCGAAGGACGCTAAATATGCTTAAACAGGTGGGCAAAATGTTGAGTGCACAGGGGATAAGTGTAAGACTACTGTTGTCATGTACCAGGCGACACCTAGCTGGGGGACCTTACCTGGAGATGGATGGTGGGAATATTGCGTCTGTACTAAACAAGAGTGAAGCTGACGTTGGCGAGTATTTGCGATCCATGATAAACCACTCAGGGGAAGGTAACTGGTATCGATTGTACCCCAAAAGTGCAATCCAACCACAGTTTTGGGCCGATCGGAAATCCACAAAACAGATGTCTCCATGAGACCGTCATTAGATGGGATAGGTTCCCCACCCCGTGAGTTGTCCCAAAAGTGCAACCACAGTTTTGGGCCGATCGGAAATCCACAAAACAGATGTCTCCATGAGACCGTCATTAGATGGGATAGGTTCCCCACCCCGTGAGTTGTTAAGAATGTTGGCAGATTTTCCGAAACCCCTTACGGGAAAACCCAGTACTCATACTAAGAATTTGTACGACTTCGCCAACGTAAAACCGGATGACGTTCTTGTGAGTTTCGACACCAACTAGCTATATACAAAAATGTGCTGCAAGGGGGGTCTTTTGAAATAGCCCGTCAGTCGCCATTGGCAGACTGATTCTGGGAGGAGTTTGAACGATTCGTCTGCTCAACCTCAGTTGGTATTCCCCAGTATTGCCTCATCAATATCTAGTCACGTAAGGACCCTGTGCACAGAAGAACCTGATCAGACAGTGGTCTAAAGTGAAGTGAAGAACAGACTTCGGGGTAATGAATGTCCTGCTCGTTCGATTATGCTTCCATTATGAGGGTTATTGGTCCTTGTGGCGAAACTCAACGGGGAATGGATTGGATATGATGTGGTTTCATATAAACCAGGGACATCCGTAACCATTTGAGGGATCCTAAACACAGCTAACATAAGAGTGGCGTTTCAAACAAGATGTACCCTAAACTCTGTCTTGGTGTAATCGAAGGATCACCTTCCGGGGAAGAAAACCAAGAACAGTGCCTATCAAATGCAACGAGATCACCAACACCTATTTAGAACAGACGGCTAAAGAACTTCACACTAGAGTCATTAAGCATAAGAGATGAGGAAACAGGATGCCGAGAAGTGCAGGTGGATATCGGGTGTCACTAAAAAACTCAGCAATGGTGGGTCATGCGCTAGAAAGGGACTAGTATTTGGAAATTGTTGAAGTTTTGTGACGGGGACCACGATTCAAGTTGCAGTAACTAAGCGCCTAGGCAGGGGATTTCTCAATCCTCCTACTGAAAACCGAATATAAGGCGTAAAATTGGTAAACTTGTAGAGAGCGGTTCTACATGAGTCTAACTGAAGTGTGGCGTGTACCGTTATCAGTGAGGAGTCGCCAGCTGAAGGAGCTTAAATGTGAAGTACGTAGCTCAAGCCAAATAAAAGTCCACATAATTTGACCCCCTAACCAAACCCACATAGACCGAAAGAATTGTCACTGAAATCTACGAAGAACCGTCACCTGAAGAGCTTGAACCCTAAGACCAAGGACCAATGACTTTGTGTTCTATCGGCCCTTTGGCTTTGAGATGTGAGCACCCGCATAAATTTACGAGATGTTTCACCCTCAAAAGTCGGCCAACCAATTCACTCTGGCTGAAGAAGACTTTGCGTCAAAAGTCAAACATTACCCAGCCATAACGCCACGAGGCGTTTTTCGAATTTCCCCAAAACGAAAACCTGTGTGATGTCCGATTATATTTTTGCGCGTTCAGTCGTCTTATCACGGTTCGTCCCAAGCGAAATGAGAAGAATTCAGGCTTTCGATTCTAGTGCGCAAAATCAAGTATGAAGTAGCGATTAACTGCTTTGCTCGGTTCGGGTGGATTGACTGGTGTATACCAAAAACCGATGCATATTGATAAGTCCACATCGTTGGGTGAAAAAGGATGGGTGTCCTGCAACCTTGTAACGAAAGCGTTACGCAAGTTTACAGGTATAACCGTAGCCACTGCTTTGATGAGAGTACTGTTAAAATACCCCCTCCAAAGTGGAGCGAGCAAATGCCACCTATATTACAGATCCCTGTGGTCCTTTTTCGTGTGGCGTGCGCCGAAAGTTCTTCTGAAAGTATGAATCTCAGTTAACTGGTTTGGGAGAAGAGATGGATTAAAGTGGTGATTATTCAAGTCCCTCTGGTGTACGATTTTTTTGTGTTACCGCAGAAGTCCCGGTTTGAGCACAGTATGATAACTTGAAGGACTAATACATTAAGCGTGGGATTTCACTGTTAAAACACAGACGGTCTTCGCGAGGAGCTAACTTACGAAAACAACTGGACGAAATCACAACCCGACGTGCATAATTGTCCTCTGTGACCGATCGGCAGAGCTGTACTTAGCCCCTGGGCTGAGATCCAAGTCGCTGCCATGACATGTCTTCTCCTTATGATGTACAGGTGCTACCTCTCTGCAACCGTACCAAATGCGATTGGCTGTTGCTCCAGCACCGGATGCGTGTAGCAACAGACCTCTGAATCATCCTGGATTCTTCAGGAGAGTAGTCTCATAAACCACCCATGTGCAGTGTAGTGTCGGACGGGCAGCAGGACTATTTATGGCTATTGTGGTTTAGCTTGTCTACTGGCAGAGAGATGGTATCCGTTGCCGGCTTGACTTGCCACAGTGAACCCCACCAATGAATGACCTCACAAAATGGGTAAAGCAACACGTTCAACCACTCAGACGTCCTGTACTCACTGTGAACCCGAGGGTGAACTCGAGGTGACAGATGTAAAACCTGATCAACTGATGGTTCACGGTTGTTCGATCATCCGGGATCGGGGCACGCACTAGGCGGTCTGATGGCTCACACCATCATTAAGATGCATCTTTCACTAGCTAGCTAATGTTAATCGCGTTTTATTGCATATGTATACGTGTAATACACATAAACGGGTACGATTTAATAGTGATTGCATGCGAATTCAACTTGAGATGGCACTGGAAACGAATGGACAAAAGTTCAAAAAGACAAACACTCCAGTAGCTCAAAAAGCGTTGTACTGACAGTCTGGCTAGCTAGCTAGTGTTAATCACTTTTTATCGCATATGTGTACGTGAAATACACATAAACGGATAGCATTTAATACTGATCACATGCGAATTCAACTTGAGATGGCACTGCCACCCATGGCTTCCTCTATTAGTATTCTGTCACAGACTTCATAGTGGATTTCTCTGACTCATTCTGTTTGATCACTATTAAACATGCCGATTCTGATTTGACTGGGTGTCGTTCCACATTGCCTTCAACCACAAATATATCCCAGGAAACTGTAAAAACTACGTACGGATGGTACGCGCGGGTGACCACAAAACAGAAGGGCGACACCCAAAAAAGGAAACCAACTGTAGCTAACACCGGGATGAACTGTCACTTCGTGCTGCTGTGCACTTTATCACCACTAAAGACTGATGTTTTTGTTCCTGGTGTGTGGTTATAACTTGAGTTTTGCGACATGAAACGTTCGTCTCTATGTCATGTATAACGTCTTTTCTGATCGGAGAAATTCGCCCTTGTCTGCAAAAGAAAAACCTGCTATTCTGGGGCGATTATCTGTAGAGCCAACTTGTTTTGTATCCCTAACAAAGCCACGTGGAAACTTATTCGACCGTACTGCAACTTTGAGTAGCCGAAGCTTCTCCTTCACTGTTCCTGGTGTTTTGATTGGTCTGTTTCTGTGGAATAAAGTGTATACCAATTAACGCTTGTAATGCGAGGGATAGAAACTGACAGAATGAACGTGCTGTTCGTTTCTAATGGGTTTCGGACTCACAGAAGGTGATACCGAGCGGCTTAGACTTTAATTTGGTTTTCAAGAGAGGCTCAACTGAATATCTCGTTAGCGATATTCTACAACTGAATATTCTGCACACAGTTCGCCACATGCTTCAGTTGGCACGATATTCGAGATATCGCAGTATATTTTCATGAAGGAAACTACTCACAAGGTTGATGAAAACTCTATGACGACCCACGACCAGTTTCACCCTTCTTGGGGCTCACCAGGTAGGCGCAGTTCCCGAGTTTCCGTCAACCTTAGATTTAAATCAAGACACCCAGACGTTCGAGCCCGCCAGTAAGATTAGTGTTTTCATGGAGTTTATCAGAAAAAGAGGGCTACGCCCCCGTTCTTAGCAATGAAATTCAGTCTGTGCACTTTGCACTAGCTTGCCCACAAAAACGTTGGCCAAATTTAGTCCTTATGAGGACTTCCTATGGTCAAACCACCCCACTGGTCTTAGCTAGAAGACAGAATTAAATCTAACACTTCTGTTAGGGAAAAGAATATGATTCCCTAGCCAGGGTACAGCACGAAATACCGCCATTTCGTTAATAGAGTACGTTGGCAAACGAAGATTCTATATTTAAAGAACCCATTGTCAAATTTAAAATATCGGTAGTTTCCAGGTACGATGAGAGCTCGTGCGTGTTTTCTAAAGAAAACCTTGTATGGGCCTTTCGGAGAGTCCTAGGAAGTGCTACAAGTCAAGCGACGACACGGGGGAAATCCACAGGGCGGATGAGTACACGGACTTAAGAAATCCCCTGTAAACCGTGTGACAGCACATCCAATCGGTTTGAGCCGGTCAACTTTATTCTGTAAAATAAAGCCATGAAATAAAACCCTACACTAGTATATTTTCTTCATCACTGACACTGTTGAGTCAACTACCAACAACTAATTTGCGATCATCCTACGAGATCGATAAAAATGAGTTTTGAAGGTCAGTCCGTTCTGCTTGAAATCAGGGTGTCAGAGACTTTGTCTGGTTTCACTTCTACATTCTTTGTAAGCTCTTACAGTGCGTTTCTGCGCTCTTCTGTCAGAGTACCCTGTTTTGGAAACTGTTAAAAACACAGGTGGTCTATGAGACCCGCCAACTTTGTCGTAGATCAGTTCTCACTTTGTGAAGATTAAATTCTGTGTTTTGCAGTTGAGAATTATACTGGCGGCATTTTAAGTTGGGATTTCAAGGTTACATCTCAACTTATAGTCGACTGGATCTTAAGTTTGATAAGTTCTTAATATGCTTAGTTAAATTGGTTAGTTAAAATTAGTTAGAATAAATTAGTTAAAATTAAATTAAACATGCTTGGTTAAATTAGACGAAAAATCACCACTAGTTTTTTGTTGTGATTGCAATGTTCAGATGAGTGGAATCAAGGACTCAAATAGCATAAAATAACAGTTTCTTGTACGTTACACTTGTTACCCTTTTAATGGTACGTTTTTATGGACTTGAAATATCGCTACACCTGATGCCCCTTGTTCTGAACAAAAGGAGCAAGACCCTAGTTAGACTCATATTCTCTCACTTCGGCAGGTGTTTATGTTTCTCGGTAATGATGTTCCAGCACTTTATATGCACTGAGAAATATACACATGTACTTGGCAATTGAAGCAAGAACCGGTGTGCAATAGGGGTGCGGAAAGAGCCGGGTGGTGGACAAAGAAACTAATAGAGAAAGTGCATTTGGAAGAGTAAGTAAATATTAGGCGCGCAACTATCAAACAGGTGCGTATCACTCTGTTTTCCTTTCTGATTCTAATCTGGTGCATGTTCGCTGGAAATAAAAAGTACCTACCTCGTCAACTTGACCTTTTCCGATAATATAAAGTTGACCAGAACTGACGGTAGCGATCTGCCTATAAGCTTCAAAGCCGGGTTCATCCATTGTGTCGCAGAAACCAGTGAGAACAAATACCACCTGTGGAAAGACGAATGAGAGTTAAATACTGTGGACTTTGACTCAAGTGTTCTCATGAATAAAGTTATGAAATCCTCAGTTTTTAAAAATAAAGCAGCTTGGGAAGCATCGGTTTGCCACAAACGACCACTTAATGAGATCGTCACAGCTAGCTCCATTTACTTCCCCACTGGTTGGAAGATTTACCCACAACTACTTGAAAGATCCGTTGGTGGCGACCTCGCGACCCCCCGAGCTTCAACCTGACATCAACCTCAAGCCCACCGTATGTCTCATTTGAGCACCCACTGAGAAGACCGAACGTTTGGGAGCTGAGTAGATGAAAGTTTGTTGAAACTTAAGTGTTTGTCAAGTGCAACCTTAACTGGAATTACCAATTAGAAGGAGTACAAGTTCATTTTTCACAAAGGAAACTACTCAAAAGGTTGCTGAAAACTCTTTGAGAGCCCACGACCGGTTTCGCCCTTCTTTGGGCTCATCAGGTAAGCGCAGTCCCTGAGTTTCCGTCAACCTTATGTTCTATATAAGTTCATGTTTGGTTGGTGTTTGCTGACTCTCCAACCGGTATAGGTAATATGAACGGAACTGTACTGTCATAGGCTGTCAAATGAGTTCCTTAGTAAGTAAAGGGAGATGCCGATCGATACGTACTTGACTCTGTTTCTGTTGGATTAGGCTGAGAACATTGTCCGTCCTGTTGTAGTCTTTTGCGCTGCTGTCTGTGAAAACATAAATAAGCGAATTTGGTCTGGATGCTTCCAGGGCCAGTTCAATACCCGTGATTGTCATTTCCGGACAGTCACCGCCGCCTTGGGTATACACACTGTCCAAATACTGGTAGAAGGTTTTGGTGGACGTGGTTACTCGAGCTGGCCCGACATCTGCAATGAATAGAGAAGCAAAGGTTTCCAACGTGAGAGCACACCAGTCAAGAATTTGATAACTCTTCGCAGTGCGAACCATCAGTGACCTAGACAAGTGAGCGGCATTGCAGACAAATCCCCGTTCAACGATCACTTTTCGGAGGAAAGGTTTTTAATGCCCACTAGAAATGTTATTCTGGTCATCTTAATATGCACAAAACTTCAGGGCGAGAGTTACAGTCACCCACCTGGTTTCTTGAACCTCACAACGTCCTAAAACCACTGACAAAACGCATGTGAAACTTGGAATCCGGGGTCCGACTAGTGAAAAAATTTCACAGCAACGTACCAGTGGATTTAGATTGAGCTTATTTCTAAAAATAAAGACTTGTGACTGCGCTCTCTGTCATTCAACTACAAAATAACGAGTGCTTTTCCTGGACCGATGTACATTAGATCCACAATTTCGAATCCTATTGGCTGCGGGTTAGGAACAACAAGGTTTTTTGAAGAAACAAAATGGGCTGCCCGTTTTCGTGTCCACTGAATACAGCTGTCTGACCGATACTACTCAAAACCTCTCAGTTCAGTAACTTCCGCTAGGTGAACTTCGTTTATCACCGTCGCTTTGTGATGTTATCCTTTTAATTGTAGTCTACATTTTCATGGACCTTGAGACCAACATCTAGCCGCAAATAAAACTTTGGTTTTCAAAAAGTTGCTGAAATGGTTTCTGCCCATTTTGCGGAAGAAGCATTTATAGAGGAGGAAACGTCATGTCGAATTTTTGCCGCTGTCTGTACTTTTCAGGAGGCGGTCTTGCTATCAACAGACCCCCTACTGGGATCGTCAACCTTAGTTGAGCGTTTGCACGACAAATGTGACACAGAATACTCCGTTTTTATTCGAACTATCTTAGGATATGTTTTCAGTTCAACCGTAACTAAACGTCCGACAGACTGCCGGTATTTTTCATGGGATAATAGTCACATTCAGTAAGAATGAGGTCCACCAGATGGTGCGCCGTGTGTGTGTCACATCTGAGTGGTTGGTTAGCGATGGAAGAGTTTCTTTACTACCTTGAAATTTTGATCACCATGGATGACCGCCAGGTCTTAAGGGATGTGTCTTAGGTTAAGAGCAACCACCAGGATGCCAACTTATCGAGAAATAAGTCGCGTCCATCTGAAATACACAGCAATGGTTGAATTTCATTGTCTATAGGTGGTAAAAAAGCGGAATGTTTGTTTCATTTGAGATATCCTCCTGCTGAAANCTTCTGAAAACGGACCACTGCCTCGTTCCCGGTGAAAAGCATCATCAATATGTACCATACGAACCTTCGGGGGAGATTCGAATCGCTGACTTTTCTACTAGTGATGGGAAGAAGGCCTTCGCTGCGGAGTCATTTACCGGAAAATGCCAACTGATCAGTTAGAGACCATTGGACAGGGAAGCAAAACTCTCATATACATCTTGTTTACAAAAACTGAACATCCATCTTCTCTTGAACGCGTCTTCCTGAACTTTCCCGGATATTCATTGACTTTTGCTCAAATCCAAGCAAATGCTACAAAGCGACTCAAGAAATTCCGCAACAGATCTCCCTTTTCAAGAGACACAAAGCGAATCTACAAGAAGAAAACATACTACTTGCATGCCTCCCCCATCAGTCGTATTACCGTTACACTAGTGGTATAGTGATCTGCCATTCGGCTACAGGTGGCTGGTCAAACTCGAACTTGGGCAGGGCATTATGGCACAGACTATCAGTTACAGTTTTAGAGTCATCTCAACCGCTCCCTGTTGTACCGGAACAGTTAAAAACCAGTAAGCATTAACGTTATTGTGGAGCAGAAAGATGGATGCTAACAAGCACAGTCTTTAATTTGGGCTCAGACTCAGGCTCAGCTTGCTTGAGTGCATTAAGGATCCAGTGAATGTAGCCCCAATTCAGATGCGTGCAACATCACATGTTCTCTTCGAGGTGGGGTCACGAGCATCTTATACCCTAAAAAACAAGGCGTACTTTCGCAAAATTTGCCCGTGACAGGGTAGGGAAGTTCAATGGATTCGGCACAAATCTCACAGTGTCCAACTTTGGGTTTTCGACACGTCCAACACCGAGTATCTAATATAGAAAACAGTGATCCCGAATGCGGATTAGTTAATTCGGGGATCACAGGAAGTACCCTAGTCCTCCCTCTAAGTTCGCTCCGAAAGTGGGATTTAATTTCCTTTGATCACTGTCGGGGAGGAGGGAGGAAAACGAGAGGAAATAGAATATCGGTTTGTACATCGTCAAACCCAGTAATATTTTCAGATCCATCACGTGAATTTTCGCTCTTTATACCGGCCGCCAGCACTCAACCAATGCCATTGGGTGAGCAATAATGTTTCCGTAAACGGTGACAAGGCGTGTACATGTCAATACCAAACGTTCGCGAGCAGCTTAACAGTCGCTTGATCAATGAACTCATCTGGACTACCTATATCTTAACACAATGCCAACATATAAGTGCGGGCTTAGCTATGTGTCAACAAGCACAGTTTTAATGTGTCGTTTCGGAAAATGTGCCGCTAGCTATCAGGCTCAAGGTAAAGCTCAAAGGAAACATGTTTTGCGAAACAGTCAACGTATCACTGTTGAACAGCTTGCTTTGAAGCAAAAAGTTCATAAAACATCCAGGAACAATGAACAATAAGTCGAAGAGTTTTTAGCACCCACGTGAGTAGTATGTTATTTCTAGACAAAATGAGCAAATTTTTTAATTATGAGAGGGAAAGCCGGGTTTCAAAATTTGCTCGGAACATGGGCCTTGAGTTCACTGCATCTTTATAACTGACCACGAGAAACGCTGAATTTTTTGAATGTGTACAATGTACGCAACAGTTTTGTAGATCACCATGCATGCTGAATACATGCTCTGGAGCATATAGCCGAAGAATAATCGTTGGCAAACAATCTGAACAGGTTATAGAACCAGTCGGAGACACTGGAATTCGCTTCGATCAATACTACTTTTGTGTCAGTCATGCTTATGGTGGCATATGAGTACGATTTAGTATGCTTTCGGATAGTGCGCCCCTGTAGGCAGCAATATGCGTTCGACAAAACAGGGATTTCGAACAAGGGAATCACTGCTAAGCTAGTTCATTATGAATTATTTAAATCTGCGAGCTCAGCTATTTACAGGAGTTTGATGAGAAACCGTTAGGAGATTAACTTTGTTAGTTTCAAGTTAAATAAAACCCTTCTCAACGTCGTACGTTGTGAATTTTTCAAGGTGAGGTTCATCGGCACAGTCAAGCTCTTTGATATAAGTAGCTTTCTCTTATCCTGGGCACGTATAACTTCTTTCTGGTCAATACTTCTCGCAATAATTAAATGAGGGTAAAAAACTTGTCATGGGAATTTTATCGATTGCGAAATCATTGGAAAGAATTGTTCACTGATTACAACAGAATCTGATCAGCGAATACACACTCATTTGTGAAATAATTTGACTTTTCGAGAGACTCACCTGGAACCCAGCTGAATCTCTCGTTTGTGATGGCTCCAGGCATCCTAATGTGCTGCATCAGGCTGCCTCATGTTCCAGTCGCTACGATATTCGAGATATCGCAATATATATATATGCATATATATATATATATATATATATGATGCGCTAATCATAAGGTTGCTAAAAATTTGCTACAGACAAC